TCTTCCACAAGAGTCTGTAGTTTCATCAATTGTAATACAAATTTTTTTATTATTTAATTCATTTTTAAGCTTTGCTTTTTCTTCTTGATATAACAGAGGAAGATATTTACTACATAATTGACCAGGTCCAGGAATAACTCCACCTATATATTAAATAAATATATAACTTATATCAATAATTAAATAAACAATTAAAAATATACTGTATATATAATTATCTTTACCATTTCTACAATATTGGCTTAAAAATGATTTAAAATAATCTACTTTTTTAATAGGTATGTCAGCCTGAACAAATATGTTAAGAAAATCTTTAATAAAAGTTTCTTTGACATCATTACTTTGCTGAAAGAACTTTATTCTAACTTGGTGAGAGGTGGATTGTACAGGTTTTTGAGTTTTTGATATATGCGCTTCTGATTTTAAATGATGATCAACTGTAGACTTTTTTTCATGATTTACTACAACTTCGCATGCTTTACAAAAAAATTTTCTGCCACTAGTATAAAAATCTAATTTATACTTGGGGTTTTTGGTAAGACGTTCTGAAGCAGATACCATAATTATGTTAAAAAAAATTCAGTGTGATTTTTTTTTATAAAAAAAATAGCAAAATTTTTTTTATAAAAAAAATAGCAAAATTTTTTTTATAAAAAAAATTTTCAAATTTTTTTTATATAAAAAAAACTTTCAAATTGACAAAATCAAAAATTGGCACTAGTAATCCTGAAGAATTTGAGATAAGTAATTAATTTAATGAGTTACTGGTTTAGGATATTATGACATAATACTAATATAACCAGGGACAAGGGTGGGAAACCATTAGCTGATGCTAGTTAAAAATTATACATCCATTGCACTGACGTATTCGTATATCTCTTTAAAGCAATTTAATATTCGATAAGAAAAAAATGACAATCAAATGATTTAAAATTCGACCAATCAACAGCGCCGATTATAATTATGCGATTTTGGTCACATTATGCTTCGCATATGCTATGCCAAAAATTGGCCAATTATGCGCATCGCATCGCATCGCATAAAACTGAGGTCCCTAATCCGGATTATCCGGATTTAAATTACTAGGTATCTCAACTACCACCTATTCAGATTTGTAATTTTTTTATTTTTGATTTCACATACTTGTTGAATCAAAATAAAAAAAATTTCAACAAATTTTGTTTGTTCGAAGTTCAGAAGTTGCAAAAACGATCTACATGTGCAACTAATTCTATTGGTCAAAATTTGTTTTTATGTTACGTTGCACAAATCGTAGACCATTATTGGCTAATTGACTGTTGATATTTTGACAATCACATGATAGTTGCATTTGGGGTAGTTATACGCGATCCTGGAGAAGATTATTTATGGGCTCATAACGATAAGACAGACACACAAGACAGATAATCGAAATCAAGACACTATGTCAAATAATAAAGTTAGTATTGCTAACAATAACAATATTTATAGTAGTTTTATGGCATTACTACACAAAAACGCTCCTACGCCCATATGCCCACCTTTTCCCCTAATGTCCTACGTGGACGCGTTTCAGCACCTGCTGAACTCCTCCAATGTACACCTCTTTGCGGGTTCTTTGCCAGAAGCTGAACTTGATGTCCTACGCCCATATGCCCACCTTTTCCTGTGGATCACATATGGCCGATGCTTGGAAAGTACTCCCTAATGTTTCTACCTGAACGTGTTTTAGCATCTGCTGAACTCCTTCAGTGTACACCTCTTAGCGGGTTCTTTACCAGAACTAAACTCGATGATATCCTACGCCTATATGCCCACATTTTCTTGTGGATCACATATGGCCGATGTTTGGAAAGATACTCCCTAATATCAGCACTCATTCAGTGTATATCTCTTAGCGGGTCCTTTGCCAGAATATCTTCTTGTCATGTAGCATTGCCAAATTAATTCCTGATATATATATATCGTTACTAAATTTTATTTTATTTTTTTATACTTTAAGACTATTTCCTCTTATTTTAAGACAACAAGCTATAAAAATTGGACAGTTCGTGCTTGCCTTCAATACATACTAGAAAATGATATCATAGATTTTGATGGTGTAGAATCAATACTTAAATTTATAAAAAAGAAACTCAAATCAATCAATCAGTAATCGGCAAAATTTATTGCACTATGCACGAAATAAGGCTTCTTCAATCCACTTTTTTTTAGAATGAATTTTTAAAACAACTTGACATCATGCAAGAACTTGATTTAAATATCAACAATAACGAAGGAGCTACGATTCGGGATATTTTAAAAATTCCTAAATCTTTAGAAGATCTTTTAAAGCAAAAAAATAGTCAAACTCACAATTAATGATAATCTATTTAGTTTAGTTGTGATTGTCTTAAGTTTCATTTGCTACATTAATCGAAGCTACCTCCCGATTTAAAACATTAAAGCACTGTATTAAACAATATTGACCAACGAATTCTATAATATTGATCCAGTTTTCGGCATGATTAAAATTGTGTTTGATTGGCTAATCAACAAAAGCTCTAATTAGTCAAATTAAAAGGATTACCTTTCGTTATTTACATCTCTGATACTTTTGTGAAAAAAATTGATTTTTTTACATAAAATACGCGATTTTGCATAACTTAGCCACTCATGGTAAGTTACACATAATGTTGATATCAAGCCAGCCTATATTATTATATACTAATTCCAGTAGAATCATGTTGAATAATGCTGGCAAAACTATCACACCTTTAAACATTAATAGCTCCAAAATCTTTTTATAATATTGGTATAACGATTATATGCCAACACACTATAATTGTAAATTTGTATTTAATGTAATTGTAATTTTCTATTTCAATCTAAAGGATTCGAAGATATTATTTATACCAAAATTTTACAAGGAGTTATTTTATGATACGTATAAGCAGTTTTATAGACAAATTTCTTTAACCCGACCCGCATAATTTGTATGGTTTTGTACTCTTACCACGCGAATCGATTTGTACAGACTGACGATACATTATTTTCTAATTTGATTTTTGGACAGTTATATTGGGGAGGTTCTAAGTAAATTATTTTAAAACTTTAAAATAAAATATCTCAACAACTATTAAACCAAACTTGATAATATTTGTTGAGATATTTTTAAAAAATTCTAAAAACAATTTGCTTGGTTTCTACTGGCACCCCCATATATAAACCGCTTTATTTGTTGAGACTATTAAATTCGATTTACTCCATTTCAGATATTGAGCAAAACCATTGGATGTAAAAGAAAATTCCATATCCCCGCGACTCTTGTATTTGTTAGAGAAACTGGCATACAAGAACGATGTGATCGGATAAAAAAAACAGCTTAGTTAAATCTGGATTTAAAACATAATTAATTATCACCTGTTTTATATATATACTTATATGTATGACTATATATTATCTGTTTACTTTCAATTACCAATACATATTAATTAATTAGCAATCCAGTCTAAATTATTTAATACCAACGTGAATTTATAAAGCTTCCAAAGACAAATATAGGAAAAAAACGACAATAACACTATAAAAGCATAAAAATCGCAATGTATTAAAATAGTCTTAGATATCTCCCGAGACATATTAAGAGGACAGCAAAACTAAAAAGATCCTCTATTAACTTTATTATGATATATTATAAATTTAACTTTTAGTGCATACTCACATTTATCTCTAATTGCACCAATGCTTACAACATGCGTTAAAGAGCCGAAATTAACATGTGTAAAGGATCGAAAATATCAACATTTAACATAAATTAATTTACAAGATGCTGTCGCAAACATTTTAATATTAAATCAACCGAGTAAATTCGTCTTGCGTAAAAAATTTAAGATTAACTATCATATCAAAAACAAAGTGAAGGCTATAAAAAAATGTATATGCAAAACTTACTAGCAATACTGTTGATTCTCGCTTCATTCATTTTAGTAGATGCGAGTTTCACCACATTTTTAACGTCGAATGCCTCCGCAGCTTCTTTAGCGGCTTGGTTTTGGATTATCTATGCAGAAGATATTTAGAAAAATTAACAAATTTATGCAATCATTAAAGAAATTGTTGAGAATAGTAAATAGAATACGTACGAAAGTTCCCAAAGTTACTAAAGCCCGATACACAACTTCTGATTCGCTTTCGTTTTCAAGAAGCTACGTTGAAAAAATCATTAATATTGTGCAAAAAAAATAAACTGAAATTATGTAAAAAATACAATACCTCAACTAGCGTTGCCATCAACTGAAGAATAATGTCTTCATTTGCATTTGTCTGGTATAAAACCGAAAAACTAAAAAAAAATCACATACTAAACTTAAAAAATTTTTTTTTTATAACTTAATAAAATTATTATATTTTTTTTAAAAAGACATTACTTAAGAAACACAGTGACTAAAGCGATTCGAAGATTTTTATTTGTACTTTTCCATGTATGGGATATCATGTCAATAATCTAAAAACTTGGAAGAAATATACTACTAAATTTATTGAATTTTAAAAAGAACGCATTTTTTGTTCAACACTTTAATAAGAAAATTGCTCACCGTAGAGGCCTCTCGTTTTATAATTCTTTTGCCTTCTTCGACATTAAATAAGTTTGTCAGAGCTCTAAGACCCAACATCATGTTTGTTTCTTGATCTTTTGTTGGAGTATCATGATCCTTAGACCAAGAATTCATCCCAGTACTGTTAATCAGAAGGTTAATTACATTGCTATCATTTTCAACATACTGTGCAGGAATCGGTGTATATAGAATCTGGAGGCGCAATAAATCAATTCCTAATGATGAAAAAGCATCTTGTAAATTAATAATATCTAAAAAGATTGATCCGAGTGATTTATTATATTATTACCGGGAAATCGACTTTCAAATGGCCACTGGGTAATTATCTTATGAATAACAATAAACTCTTGTTGCCGATCATTATTTGATCTGGAATTAGCTTGAGGATTTTGCAAAAATCTGGCCAAATTTTCTAATGTAGTTATCTCTTGAGAAGTTAAAACAGCGCTATTTGTAGCTTCAATTTGTTGCAAATCGACATTTATTTGATTAGTTTTTTTCAATATTGCTTGAATGTTTGCTTGATTAAACTTGAGATAGGTTTTCTTTTTATATTTAAAAAAAATATAATCAATGGTTGTCATTTGAACGAAATACAACAATCATAAATTAATTTACTTGTGGAATAATTTTGGCTGATCCGGATGCAACAGGTGAAGACTCTGTAGCAGGTGAAAGCCCTGGTCTAGTCCAAGGGTCCAGGCCCGTTGTAAAAGTGTTCTGTATATTATTTATTTTTTAAAAAAATAAAAGACGTGAATACATGCAAAAATAATGAATCTCCACACATAATTTTAATTTAAAACTAACTGAAGAAATTGGTGGTGTTTGTAAACTGCTCGAAACTCCTCCAGGGGTATATCTGGATGCACCTAGAAATTACACTCAATATCAGGAATAAAGTTTACACGTTTAGAGTGAGTCAACAGAAACCAGACAATTTTTCCCATTAATAAACTTTCTAAATACAAACATAAATGATTTTGATAACTATCCAATCAATTTTGATAATTTAACCCTATAAACTTGTTAAATTATCAAATTGGATCAGATTGTTATCAAATATTCATGTTTAGATCTGGAAAAAATTTTTAACAGAGAAAATTTGCTTGATTCTGTAAACCTCACCATTATTATCATCTATGTAAAGATCTGTGATTTATACCGGTAAAAGGATCTGCATACTGTGACCCCGAACTTATATTAGAACCTGGTGCATTTTTCAAGATAAAATCTACAATTTGTTCCATATAAGCTTCTGAAAGCCCATTGGCCGATATAAATTCTCGCGCAGCTTGATATGGATCATCTAGTATCATATAGTAATCATATAAACAAATTAAATTACAACAAAATAAAGTGACAGAATATCATTAACTTTCACTGACCATCTGTGTTATATGGTAGTTTCAGCGCAGGAGTGCCTTCTCCAATATCAACATCGAATACATGATCATATTCTCTTCCGTTAAATAATTGTTTTCTTTTCTGATCAACGGCATCAACCACTTCTCCAATTTTATGCCATGACTGATCTGCTTGATTCCACTTAAACCCAATACGGTCAATTAATTATTTGTATTTCGAACGAAATATGAAAACATTGTATTCATTAATTAAATTTATGGTTGCTTACTTGATGTGCTTCGACTACATCGCCGACACGCACCATGATTACTTGTCCTTCCTTGTTGCCTGTTTCATTATAAAAAAGTGAATTTACGAGAATAAAAAATAAAGTATTTACAAATATATGAAAATATAACAAACCCTGCTTTTGGAGTGCTTCAAGTCCAGGAAGCTTGTCTTTTTTTAAATCACCAACTTGGTTTCTACAATAATTAATAGCTTTATTGGATTCTGATGAAACAAATTATAAATTAATTATATTAATAATTAAAAATGTATGACATACGATGGGATCGCATGCTTAGAAACTTGTTCGTCATAATCCTAATAATAAACATGCTATTATTAACAAATAAGTAGGTTTTTAACTACTTTTAAGATTTTGAATTCACTAAAGTAAACCAACTTTTAAAATCTGTGGTTCTGCAACGCGTTCAGAATTCCTGGTAAAAATTCGAACTATTCCATCGCTGGATCCACTAACAATGTCACCATTAGGCATTGAAGCAACACACCATACTGAAGTCGCTGGATGTATAATCGTTTGTACACAATTCCCTTCTAATGAAATTTATTAAATTTTGAATTGTATTATATTTGGTTACATAAATTAATATGTACAAATTGATACTAAACCTTTCCAAATTTTTACGGAACGATCTTCTCCGCTAGATATAATTTCACCTGTAGGCAAAACTCCAAGAGAATACACGAAGGATGTATGTCCGTATAGTTCCTGAATGCATTGACCTGAAAAAGTCCATATACGGAGTGTACTGGAATATTATGATTGATCGAGATAAATTAATCATTGCATTTAATCGACATTGCCAACAAAAAGGATTTATAGAAAAATATACCTATCATTGCCACAAGATACGAAGCTCATATTTGGTAACAATGCCAATGCCCTAACACAATCAGTATGGCCGTTCAAGGTTTGTACACGTTTTCCGTTTTGCCATTTTATGATAGATTTATCGGCAGACCCTAACAATTAAAAGAAATTATATAATGCTAAAATAAAGTACCCTTTGAAGTTAGTGACCAACTTACCAGTTAATATACGCTCATCATCTACCGCTAATACAGCCCAAACGGCTTGAGAATGACCTTCTAAAGTGTGTGATTCCTGCCAATTTTTCCATATTTTAGCTGTTCTATGACACATTTATAACATATGAATTTAACATAGAACTGCAATAATTGATTCGAACAAAAAGAGTGTGATGCTTCTTAAAACATACTTATCCCAAGAACCAGATACGATGAAGCCAGAAGGGGTAACATCCAAAGCACAAACATTGTCTGAATGTCCAATTAATGAGTATGCAGGTTCTTGTGCATTATCAACATCAAATACGTTAATCGTTTTATCACTGCTACCACTAATTACAAGGCCTTGCATTGATATAAAGGGGAATTAAAGCTGTTAGCATGTGTAATATAATCGTATATGAAATAAATAATTCACTCACCTGAAGGGTGATCTGATGTCGGAGGTAAGTACTTAACAGAATTTACAAAATTATTATGCCCTAGAAAAATTTTGTTCTCGATAAAAGCATTTTCTCCTGCTCTAGACCACAGACGTACAGTCTTATCTCGAGAAGAGGAAGCAACGGAATTCTCTCCGGGGCAGCATACAGCCTTAACCTTTAAATAACGCCAAATTAACCAATTTTGATAAATTATACACTATTAATTATGAAGCACATACATCTGATTCGTGACCGATGAGAGTTGTAGATAGTTGAAATAGAGCATGATTTGACATTATGAAAATGAATAGCAAAATAACGACATTTTGAAAATATTTGTGTGTATATCAATCAATATAACGGAAAAATCGATTACTGGTCGGAGTTCATCGGAGCTAGGCCGGCGTTAGGCAGTAATTTTAGCAGTAACTTTTACTTAGTTTGTGCCGGTAATACAACGATAAATTTGAAAGTTTTTTTAAAACTTCTAGCGATGATTTCTCAACAACTACCTGATTAAATTCGGTAAAAAATTTTTATTTTAATTCTATAGTATTGTAAAATTAAAATAAAAAAAAGTTCATTAAAATTAATTCAGTAGTTGTTGAGAATTCATCGCCAAAAGTTTTAAAAAAACTTAAAATATCGAAAAAAAAACCGGGTAAAATTTTCTTTGAATGATTTCTCGACAACCAACTATCCAAATTTAATAAAATTTTTTTTATTTTAATCTAAGGGTTCATAGAATTAAAAAAAAAAAAAAAAAAATTCATTGAGAAATATTCATTAAAAAAAATTTT